TTTACGAAATATATGTTTTTAAGAGAACTTTTCATAATTTTTTAATATAAATATATGATATAATTCATTAAATTCTAAATAGGGAGGATGTTTTTGCTAAATTTCTTGGAAATGCGTACAAGTTGCTAATAAGCAAAGTACGTATAAGTTATCTATAATGCAAAATGCGTGCAAGTTGTCAATGTGTAAAATACGTGCAAGTTGTCAATTTGCAGAATGCGTGCAAGTTGTCAATTTGCAGAATACGTGTAAGTTGTCAATGTGCAAAATACGTGCAAGTTGCTATTTTTATTTAATTTTTGTAATATACTCTAAATAATTAGTAACTTCCAACCTATAAATATTTCGATTCTTTTTATAATAATATTCAGTATATTTATTTCCTTTTTAACAAAATATTCAGTATTATATATAATTTCAAACTACATCTAGTAAACTTTAGGGGACATTTGCGAGTAAGCCTAACCTAGAATCATGCATCGAAACAGGTTAAAAAAACATCTTCCGGCTTTTGAAATCAGTAACTTACGGGTACATCAGACTACATCAAGTAAACTTTTAGGGGACATTTGCGAGTAAGCCTAACCTAGAATCTTGCATCGAAACAGGTTAAAAACATTTTCCGGCTTTTGAAATCAGTAACTTACGGGTACATCAGACTACATCAAGTAAACTTTTAGGGGACATTTGCGAGTAAGCCTAACCTAGAATCTTGCATCGAAACAGGTTAAAAATTTTCCGGCTTTTTGAAATCAGTAACTTACGGGTACATCAGACTACATCAAGTAAACTTTTAGGGGACATTTGCGAGTAAGCCTAACCTAGATCTTGCATTGCATCGAAACAGGTTAAAAACATTTTCCGGCTTTTTGAAATCAGTAACTTACGGGTACATCACAGACTACATCAAGTAAACTTTTAGGGGACATTTGCGAGTAAGCCTAACCTAGAATCTTGCATCGAAACAGGTCAAACTACTTTTGTAGAAAAATATTGTTTTTGGGTTTTTAGGAATGACATATATTTATTCTATTATTTATTTACATGACATGGTTTAAATAAAACATTTTTGTTTCTTTAAGTTACATTTTTATTTAAAATAAAATTTCTTACATTTAGCTAATACAATTTAAATAAATTAATATCTGAAATCTTGCTTGCTTTCCAGTCGAGGATGCTTTCACGAGATAGTAGTGTCGCTGTCATAACACCTTCGCGATTTTGCTCTAATACGCGTTTCGATACATTAGCCAGTAATTGAACATGTCTCTCAGTTCCCTGAATGTGGACCGGAATTTTAGGGTCACTCCATGGACACTCATTGCTTTGTAGATATTGTACTAGATGTTCATGAGGAATATTTAGCGTAAAGGCTGGTTCGGATATATTTGAATAATCATCCATATCTATCATATTAGTATAGTCGGTGCATTCGAAATTTATTTCGGGTGTTTTGTAATCTCTCAATTGCGTCAGGTCTTCCACATTATTACGGTAATATAAGATTTTTCTTATAGCTGAATCTCGTATTTCCTTTTTATTATCAAACAACATTGCTAATAAAATATTTTCCGAGTGAGCATAGTATGCGTTTTCTTTAGCAACATTGTTCACAATTTGTCTTAAATTCGAGTCTAAATATTGCGTCCAGCTAATAAATTTATAAAATAATATACTACCATACACCACAGAGTTGTAATATTTAATGTTAAAGTACATTGGAATATATACTTTCATTACGTAGTTTGCCAGAATTTTCAAATTTTTGGATGGCTTATTAGTAGTTACATATAACCGAAGTAACCTACTAGCCTTCGTGAGCCAACGGGAATGTGCTATTGGCCCTGGTTTCATGTTAGCTAAGCCTGTCGATACTTCTCCAGAAGCAACTGCTTTAGCTATTTTTATTAAATAACTTGAGTCAGTTGTCGATTCAGCAGGACTTATATCAGCCAAATTTTCAAGTGGGATTGTTTCAAAGTCTTTTACCGGCTGGAAGTATATAGGAAAAAATAAATTATATTGAATTTGAACATAGGGTATTAAAAAATAGTAAATATGTTATAACTCACCGGTATATTTTCGCATGTTTCAATTTGTTTGCTTAATATTCCAGTTTTTGTTCGTGGTCCAGTGGTCAATGATTTTTCCAAATAGTTAAATAAATGGCGAAGTGGAAGTTTGTTAAAGTGGAGAAGACACACAAACCAATGCAGTGGCCTGTTTAACTGAATTTCAAATCGACGTAAAATACCATTTTTTACGCCTGTATTTGCTGGTTCACCATCGCAACATATGCCTATCAAAGAATCGAGAGCTATTCCTTTATCGGCGAAAAACTCGTTCAATTTGATTACTTTACTTTCCGAATCTTCATTTTCCAATTTTGTGTAACCCAACAATTGGCCATTCGGTTCCTTTAAAATAACTAAATGCGTTTCTTTAATCATTCGTGGGTGAAACTTCTTATCGATTTTTTCCATGGTAATAGAATCATTTTTTCGGCCGTCGAATGAAAATGCTATTAATTCAGAAGAATCATATCGTTTGTGTAGAGCTTGCCTATTTTTCTGCCTCTCACGAACGCTTTTATTTTTATCCATAATGACAGGATTGCCCCAATCATCCGTTATGCCCAGGTCACGCAGGATTGCCGTCACCACGCCAGAACCAACTCTATCAGAAATTGCAAATCTGTCGCACATTAAGGCATAGCTTGGAGCCTTATATCTTCGACTATATGGACCACGTTTTATATGAGAGGTATTTTGTGAACTTTCCGAACTGCTTTTAGAATCAAAATCAACATCTGGAGTATATGTCTCACCTGGAGTAATATTGCTAGTTATTGTAGATTCTGATACTTCATCTTCAATTTTTATAATATATTCTGGTATCGTAGATTTCCTCTCATTATGTTGATCCATCATAAACGCTTGTAAATGTTCTGGGATCAGTCCACAGGAACACAGTAATCTTCGCAAATCACATTTGCATTTTCCAATATAAAATAATTCTTTCGTGGATTCTACAAACTCCTGAAATGATGCTTGGGTAGACTTGCTTTTATTTGTACTTTTATATTTATCAATCAATCGGTTCAATTTTCTAGCGATACTTCGTTTCTCCATAATTGGAATATCAATTTTTTCCCACGTCTGAATCAATTTCGTTACCACATTTGGAGTAAATGTTTTATATGAAAACATTTTATTTTGTTTTTTGATTAGATTATACATCATTAGAAAGGTCTTAAAATTCTTAGTTCTTTTTCCATACATCGCAACTTCGAATTCCGAACGGTGTGGCCTACAGGCGAGTTGCCGTCGTAAAATTTCAGGAAAATCGGAAAATCTCGAGAAAATTATATGAACACACTTAACCATTCATATACCATTTTATTCATAATTTTATTCTGCATCTTTCGTACGAACAAAGTTTTTTCGTATCTTTTACGGTTTTGATGTTATAGAGCAATCTGTGTAGTTGTTAACTTGTCAAAATGCAAAGTGCGGATAGGTTAGAGCAACACTCCTCACGATTCGATATTTCTCTAAAGAAAACATATAAACTATTATACATCATTAGAAAGGTCTTAAAATTCTTAGTTCTTTTTCCATACATCGCAACTTCGAATTCCGAACGGTGTGGCCTACAGGCGAGTTGCCGTCGTAAAATTTCAGGAAAATCGGAAAATCTCGAGAAAATTATATGAACACACTTAACCATTCATATACCATTTTATTCATAATTTTATTCTGCATCTTTCGTACGAACAAAGTTTTTTTGTATCTTTTACGGTTTAGACTGTATAGAGCAATCTGTGTAGTTGTTAACTTGTCAAAATGCAAAGTGCGGATAGGTTAGAGCAACACTCCTCACGATTCGATATTTCTCTAAAGAAAACATATAAACTATTATACATCATTAGAAAGGTCTTAAAATTCTTAGTTTTTTTTCCATACATCGCAACTTCGAATTCCGAACGGTGTGGCCTACAGGCGAGTTGCCGTCGTAAAATTTCAGGAAAATCGGAAAATCTCGAGAAAATTATATGAACACACTTAACCATTCATATACCATTTTATTCATAATTTTATTCTGCATCTTTCGTACGAACAAAGTTTTTTCGTATCTTTTACGGTTTTGATGTTATAGAGCAATCTGTGTAGTTGTTAACTTGTCAAAATGCAAAGTGCGGATAGGTTAGAGCAACACTCCTCACGATTCGATATTTCTCTAAAGAAAACATATAAAGTATTATACATCATTAGAAAGGTCTTAAAATTCTTAGTTCTTTTTCCATACATCGCAACTTCGAATTCCGAACGGTGTGGCCTACAGGCGAGTTGCCGTCGTAAAATTTCAGGAAAATCGGAAAATCTCGAGAAAATTATATGAACACACTTAACCATTCATATACCATTTTATTCATAATTTTATTCTGCATCTTTCGTACGAACAAAGTTTTTTCGTATCTTTTACGGTTTTGATGTTATAGAGCAATCTGTGTAGTTGTTAACTTGTCAAAATGCAAAGTGCGGATAGGTTAGAGCAACACTCCTCACGATTCGATATTTCTCCAAAGAAAACATATAAATTATTATACATCATTAGAAAGGTCTTAAAATTCTTAGTTCTTTTTCCATACATCGCAACTTCGAATTCCGAACGGTGTGGCCTACAGGCGAGTTGCCGTCGTAAAATTTCAGGAAAATCGGAAAATCTCGAGAA